GGAGCAGCAACTGGCTGGGAAATATTTAGCAGAATTAATACTTGGGGACAAAGTCTGGTGCATAACAAAACAATCATGTAAATCAAGCTTAGAATGTAAATCAAGGGCTCCATTAATATTCGGTGTTTTAATGGAATAAACACCTGCTGGGCTGTCAATAAAGGAGCTTTGCAGAAATCTTGAAATTGTCATTTCCTTAACTACTTGAGCGCTGGGCCTCTTCAAGGAGTTCCCACCATCCATTTCTACAGCGAGGTGCCAGTTGCTTTTTAGAAAGGATTGCCACACATTTAAGGGCACACACGGCTTTGTTTTAGAGTTAGGAGAAGGATTTTTTTTCGAGTTTTCTATAATGTGGAAAATGGGAAAATAAAGATTTTTATGATGTTATTGCAGACTTTGGAAACATTTGAAAAAAAATCAAGGTATTTCACTTAATTTAAAATAATGACTTACATCATAGTGACCTGGACTAGAGACTCTGGCGTCAGACTGCCTGAGCCACTTAGTAGCTATGTGACCTTGTGCAAGATGCTTCTCACACCCCTTGTGCTTCCTCATCGGTAAAACGGGGACAGCAGTGCCTGCTCACAGAGGTGCCTGGGAAGTGGCAGCTGCCGTTATAGAGGGCCAGTTAGCCCCCTGCACACAGCAAGTGGGTGGGTGGTGCACGTGAGCCAACACAGCGGGGTGGCATCTTTGGGCTCCCTCGTTCAGGCACCATCTCAGTGTGGGGATGGTGTCCATTCCTGTTAAGCTGGCAGCTCCCAAGACTGCTAGTGAGCTTCCATGGTTAAAGCTTAATTGCCTTTGGCTAATTAAAACCGTGTCAGCTGGGAGAGTGAGGTGGCGGTGCTTACCCATTAGTGGTAACTGAGGACGCCTCATGTCCAAGGATAGGACTTGTCCAGCACACCCAGAAAGCTCTGGGCTGACGGGAGCGCCATGGGCAGGGTATCGGGCACTGTGGGGATCCATCTGTGGGCCCTAGCAGGAGTTTCTACAGACTGGATCCTCTGCCCAGGCAGACAGGTCCGGGACGTTGCAGGTCACAGTGAGCACCAAGTCTACCATAACCTCGGAGTGAGCCGGCAAGGGCCTTTGGATTTATTGCCAACCTGTTACTATTGCTGTCTGAGGGGCTTCAGGGAGGTCCTGAGCTCAAATTCTGGCCCCATGCTTCTCTAGTTAGCTGATGTTGCAAGTTACCCTCTTTAATGTCACTTTTCTTATCAGTAAAGTGGTGCTGTGAAGCTGCTCACCTCCAGAGATGTTGCGAGGATTAAGTGAGCCAGTCCATGTGAAACACCTGGAATGCTACCTGGCACTGCCCAAGTGCTCCAAAGGTGGCGGCTGTTACTCCAAGCCAGGCCAGCATGTGCACTACCCGTGAAAGATGCCCTTTCAAGGTTCCTCACCTTTGCTCGAAGGCCCTCCCACCTCACCCCACCCCCCCACCAGTCCCTTCTTCAGCTTCATGGCCCACATCCATCATGTGTGGTGGCTCCCCCAACCCCCGATCTGTTCAGAATTCATCATTCCTCTGTGTCATAGTCAGTAATTGTTGTGCACCGACTATATGCTGCGCAGGTGCTGTGTTAGGTCCTGGCAGTACAAAATGCACAGTTCAGGGTCCCTGACCCAGTTTTCAGAGAAGCAGGAGCAACCATCGGGTAATCAATCACAGTGCAGTGTGCTAAGTGTAGGGATGCAGGTGTCATGGGATGTGTGGATAAGGGGCCAGGAGGACTCACTGGAGGAGTTAGCCAGGCCTGATTGAAAACTAGGTGTGATGTAGTAAAGGGGGGAACCTTGGGGGTGGAGGAATGGGAACAAGTGGGAGTATATCTTCTAGACAGAGGGAACAGAATGTGCAAAGGTCCAAAGCGAAGAGCATGGCAAGATTGGAGAATAAAAAATGTGTCATAGATTAAACATTTGGTCTGAGACAGGCTGTGTTCCATTGCTACACATAGATTAATTCATTTAATCCTCACAGCACCTGCGTAAAGTAGGTGCTGTTTTGCTCCTCACGTTGCAGACGGGGAAACTAAGGCACAGTGCCCTGGGCCACTCAGCTAGTGAGTTGTGGGGCTAGAGTTGGAAGGCAGGCAGCCTGGCTCCAGAGCTGATGGTCTCGCCACTGCACCCACCTGCCCCACAGCAGAACTGTGTCCGGGATGGCTGGGCTAAGGAGCCTGGAAATGGAGGGAACCGAGGAGGTGGTAGGGGACTTGACTCTGAAGGGCCTTGAATGCCACACCAAGAGTGTTATGAGGGAATGGGGAGAGAAGGTGTGGACAGACTTGCTTGTTGTGGCTGGTTTCTCTTTGCTGGAGCAGTTCCAGCCCAGACTTAGGTTTATGATGCCTACTCAACAGCATGACCCTGAAGGCAGGGGATGCCTGATGCTCTTTGGCCTTGATGCCCTGCCCTTGGTGCCAGTTAAATGTTTGTAAAGCAAACCGAATAAAAGGAACACAGGAGAGGAGGCAGGTGGGCTCTGGAGGGAGATGCTTGGGTTCAGATCCTGGCTCTGACACTCACTGGTGAGGCTACCTGCCCCCATCTGCTTATTTATAAAATCAGGTCATAGACCTGAAAATGTGGCTGCTAAGTGAAATGAGAGAATTCAGGTACACGGTTTGTGCAGTGCCAGAACTCAGTGTTGACAGCCAGTCATCTCCCTGCCTGTTCTTGTGCACCTGCCAGCAGTGTTTCATCAGGGTGGCTTAAGGGGGTTTTGTCCCTTCACTCAATTCTCCAGCTGCCACCCCAAGTCCAGAGGTAACCAGAGTGGAGGGTCCCCTCCATCCCTGACTCTGGCCTTGGGAAGGGCCACACTCCTCTTGCAGGGGAGGAGGGGCCCTGGGATGGTGTGAAAGGCTCCGCCTCAAGTCCAGGATGCCTAGAATGCTGGTTTCTTGGCTGTGCCCTTGTCTCCCCTTCTCTGGGCCTAAGTTTCCTCATCTGTAAAATGAGGTGGGGGAGGGTTAAGTCCTTGTGGGGAGCTCTGACTCGGCTCTGCTAGAGTTCCATGCTCGGGCAGGTGGCCAGAGAGGCATTGCATGAGGGCCAGGCCCATAGGCCCCACTACACACATCCACCTCCAGGGCCACCTGTCCCCAAGCTCTCAGGCCCCGCCCTAAGAAAAGGAGTGCCTAGGGCCCTTCCCCCATACTCCTGGCTGTGCT